TTGCTTCACTGGACCATGTTGGTATTCTCATTGTACTTTTCCTGGGTGAGGCAGTCTCTCCCTGGCCATTGGACGGCAGCTCACGAAAGCTCACGCCTACTGCCGACGAGCCTCACTGCCGCCTACGCCATCGCCAGCAACTCACAGCAGCCCACCTCCAGGTCGAGCTGTTGTTCACCATCTTAGCTATAGAGGGTGCAGCATCACTGGCCCGCATAGGGGATCCGAACCAGGGCCCTGCTGCTCAGAGCTGGTGTCGCAAGCCAACTCCTAACCAACGTGCCACTCGGCCAGCCTTAAATGTTTTGATTCTTTTTTTTTTTTTAATTAGTTTTAGGTGTACAAAATAATGCAATAGTTATACTTTCACCCCTCACAAAGTGACCACCCCCTCCCCCATTGATTCTTAACTGGTTTAGGAGGTAGCTTGTAGCTATCCTCTTGTTACCATCTACATCTTCCACTAAACTGAAGTGCCAATGATACTGTCTTTACATTTTTTCTGCCTTTTTATTTAACCATCTAAGTTTCTAGAATTAATATTAAAGCCTCTTTTTGGCCAGAGTTTGTTTTGCCACTTCTTATACCTGTATCTTTTCTCTCTAAACATGTCATTGAATTTTTTGTCATCACTCTTAAGAGACTTTTACTGATTGTCACGATGTTTTTGCACTAACTGGCATTCCCTCAATTTTTATTCTAAGCTCTGCCATTTTTTAAAGTGGTGCCAATATGGTCACTATCTGGTTCTTAGAGCTCATGAAGTCAGCTCGGCTATAGCCATAAGGATCTCATAGATAGGGAGGTATCCTGGCTGCCAACCTTGAGCCTATTGTAGGCACCATGAGGATCAAGATCCAGAACACTGATTTGTATCCACTCACACTGAGTTGACTGGTTCACATTGATCACATTAGCAGTTGGGTGATTGATATTCTGTTCCATGTATTAATTGGCAGTAAATATAAACTAAGGAGACTAGGATATTGCTGGTCAACCCAAATTCTCTTTAAAAAAGCAGTATGGCTCCCCATCTAGACCAGAGGTTGGAAAAATACAGCCCTCAGGCTTGCCACCTATATTTGTAAGTAATGTCTTCTTGGAACTCAGCCATTACCGTTCACTTATTATCTGTGGCTGCTTTGTGCTACAGCAGCAATATTGATCGGTTGTGACAGAGACCAAATGGGCTACAAACCTAAAATATTTACTATCTGGCTCTTGAAGGAAAAGTTTGCCAACCCTTGACCTGCACTATCAGAACTTGCCAGATAATCATGGTTTCACAGCAAAGGGAGCTGGATGAGCTTAAGGGATAATCAAACTATCTCTGATACCTCCTTCACCACTATAGAATTGTACCTGCATTATCATTAGAATACTTGAGCCCTGTTAATTATTGAGCTTCCAGGCTTAGATACAAAGGTTTATAGGACACTGCGTACTTAGTGGGAGCATAATCTAAGCAGCTAATAGACATGTAAATAAATTATTACACATTGACTCAACTTTCAATCAGTATAGCAAAGTGAATAGATTAGTTACTGTTTCACTAGTGAACTGAAAAGAACACTGATGGTTCTTTTTTATTACATTTAATTTGTACCAATTATGGTGGTAGAGGTAGTGACAGGAACTCAATATAATAATTCTAAAGTAAATTTAGAACAAGTGATAATGGCAATTTTTTAAAATAAATTACAATAAAAAAGAAATTAGCCCCACTCAATCTTTATAAAGCTGCAAATATTAAAACTGATAGTGTGGGGAATAAGGGTAGAATAATATTGGGCTGTCGGAAAAAGACGCATTTTTGCAACGAAAACCAGAAAAAATAGGTCATGACTTTTCTGACAACCCAAAAGAACAAGAGTGTAGGGCCAGCAGAGTGGCGCGTTGGTTAAGAGTTGGCTTGGGACACCAGCTCTGAGCAGCAGAGCCCTGGTTCAGATTCCACATTAGGGCCAGTGATGCTGCACCCTCTACAGCTAAGATGGTGAACAACAGCTCGACCTGGAGCTGGGCTGCCCTGAGTCNATATATAAAAAGAACATTCCAGATATAGAAATAGCAGGTACAAAGGCCTCAAAGTGGGAAAGCCTGCCTCTTTTGGATGAATTTTCAGGAGACTGATGGGGTTAACATAGTAAGCAACAGGGAAGGGGTTATCATAAAATGTAGAGGTAGGCCAGGTCATGCAGAGCTTATTAGGCCCTGCTGAGGATTTTGTATTTTCCAAGAACTGAAGGAAGCCATTAAAGTGTTTGCTTAGGCAGGGAAGCAACATTTTCCAAAGTAATGCCTAAAAGACATAGTTTAAATATGCTGTTATAGTGTATTTCAATAAATACAATTAGTTCTATATCTTAAATCTGTTTCTGCTACATAATTTCTCAATCATTATTTTTACTCTCTTCAGAATTTCTTGGCTCTTTGTGCCAGTAATTACTACAATGGCTGTATATTTCATAGGAATATCAAAGGTTTCATGGTTCAAACAGGAGATCCCACAGGTAAGTTATTTCATTAATAGCCAGGGAATTGGGTATATAGTGAAGAGGGGGGTAGACAAAGAGTAGAAAAATAAAACCATGTGGAGTTTTTATAACTGTGCTGCCTTACAATAGCAGGCAATTTTTAAGCCGAAGCTACTAGCACCTAACCCTAAAATATGAATAGTACTAATAAGGAGTATTTTTGTTTTTTCTATAGATACTTTATTTTTCTGCTCTGTAAAGTGAAATTTTGGAAATTAAGAGAGGACATATCAAATTTTATTTGTATTTAAAGAGTTATACTGTAAACTAGCCCTTCAGTTTTAGAAAATAAACCCTTTTTCAACTTTAATTAGATACTTCTTCTGTATGTCTTGTAATATAGGTACCGGAAGAGGAGGAAACAGTATCTGGGGCAGGAAATTTGAGGATGAATACAGTGAATATCTTAAGGTATGTCCCCAGTGCTTCAAAATCTGTTTTCTTATGTCTTGTTTACACTTGTAAACTTTGACACATATGTTCTAGTAACACAAGTTAACATTATTAGTAAACAAATATTTGTACTTTTTTTGAATAGTTTCTGTGCACTTAATAAATGATATCAGGGAGAAAATATAAATGGCAGTTCTAGCCTAAAATATATACTGGAATCTTACCATCACATGGGTCTTAATATTAAGTGAGCTCATCTTTGGGTCCAGCCTGAAATACTTAATCAGTAATGTACCAAAGGAGCTTAATGTTTCACTATAAAATTCATTGAATAAAAAAATATATATAAATGAAATTTATTGAATGAGTAAAATTTATTGCCCTTTTTTGACAGTGGGGAGGAAAGACTATCAGACCTCCTGGTTGCAATATTGTCATCATCAATCTCCAACTTTAATCATCTTCTGTTAGATGTTTAAATATTCCTCTATTTACTTAACACCTGTGGTAGATCTCAGCAGAGTTAAAGAGAAGTGCGTGTAAATAAATCTTCAGCATAGTAAAATAAGGGATTTTTTTCAGTATTTTTTCTGTATTTCTAAAACTTTCTAAAGGATTTTGTTTTCTAAAATTAAAAAAACTAGTACAAGCCTATTAAAAAAAAAAATTAGTTCCACTTCCCAGAGATGACATCAGTTAACTGTTTATCATGTGGTTTTTTTAATTTTGTATCCGCATATAATAACTATAATTAGAAAACAAAAGATAAGTTTTTCTCAATCAGAATATGTAATTTAGTATATTGCATTTCAGTTACATCAAAATATACCCAAAAAGTTTTCTGAAAAAAAACTCATTGCAATGTGTATCTCTGAATGGTGGGACTGGTTTATTTTATTTTCTTTTTACTTTTTTTTTTCTTTTTACTTTCATATCATAAAGAAATACTTTAGTTATAGGAGTTGGGATTGGGAGATGCTAAATTGTTTTAAAAAAAAACATCCTTTTCCTGAATTAGAAACAAAACAATCTTTTAGGCATTAATTAATGACAGATTTCACAACATTAAACTGTCATCCTATACCAGTATACAGATTTTTAACCTTGGCTGCTACAGACTCACCAGTGGAAGTTTTAAAAATATAAAAAATTAGGGCCTTACCCTCACCACCCAAATACAGAGAAAAACAGTCAGTAAGGACTGATTAGGGCCTTGATTATATTTTAAGGTTCCCTGGTGATTTCTACACAGCCAGGATAAGAACCATTATTTTATACACCAGAGTTGAGGATGATGTATATTGAATAGTCACATACTCTGACCCAGCAGTTTCATTCCCAGGTGTTTACCCTAGAGAAACTCTGGTACATGTGTATCAGGACACAATCTCATGAGTGTTTCTAGAGTACACTCTAGGGACTTACTAATGTTATTAAACACAGGTCAAGTATTGTTCCCAGCTTTACAGTTAAATCTTGAGACAACACTATGAGTTGGGTGCTTATTTCCATTCTTCAGAGGTGGAAACAGCAGAGGTTAAGTAACGCGACACACTGTGGCTTTGGGAGTCAGTCAGTCTGATTTGCTATTTTAATAGCAAAAAGCTAAAAACAACACAAATGTCTATTGATTATAGAATGGATAAATTTTAGTCTGTTAAGTAGTGGAATGTTACATAGCAGTAAAAAAAATCAGAACTACAGCTACATATACATCTATGAAATTTAGAAACATAATAAGAGTAGAAAGCATTGCCCAGATAACTACAAATAGTATTATACTATTTTATAGAGGTCAGAAACAAGCAAGAAACAATATAGTTGACCCTTGAACAATGTGGGGATTAGGAGCACCTATCCTCATATAGTTGAAAATCTACATATAACTTTTGGCTCCCCCAAAACTTCAGTTTTCTCTCAGTGTTCATGGTGCGTTGGTTCCAGCACCACCCTACACACACACACACACACACACACACACACACACACACACACAG